TGTACATTTGCTGTCATGTTAAACTTATATTAAAGTTTTTCTTCATTACCCATTTAAGCCGTCTCCAGCCATTATTAGTCTCAAAGTGGGTTCCTCGTCATCGAATTTAAGGCTCACACTGTTAATTTACTCGAATAAAAGAATGTGTAATATGAATGAATTCTTGTTAACTAGTGTATTGTTTGACTATCTCTCACCGTACATTTTGTACATGTTCTCTATATACGAGTTTGAAGCTTATTAGCATTCATTGTTTGGGTGTTAGTAACTTTTCCCTACTTATGCTTATTGGCCCGACATGACCAGGTGGTTAGGGCGCTTGACTCACTATCTTAGAGTTGAGGGTCCGTATCCCCAGCCCACCAAACATGCTCGCCCTTCCAGCCATGGAGGTGTTATAATGTAACAGTCAATTGCACTATTCATTGATAAAAGAGTAGGTGATGACTGGCTGCCTTCTATCTTGTCTTGCACTGCTAAATTAGGGATGGCTAGCGCAGATAGCTCTTGTGTAGCTTTGCACGAAATTCAAAAACAATCCTATATAATGTGTATAGAATACTTACCAAAAATTACCAAACCAAATTAGTGCTAATCTGAAGGATCATTGTAATCCAAAGTCATTTTGAACTAATATACTTTTTTAAAATTCAACTCTATATATGATTTGAGTTTGTAAGCAAATATAGTATTAATTAAGATTTGTACAATATTAATGAACGTCCAATGACATTAATACCACAAATTATATAAAAATGATATTTTGTATGCGTTAAATATCTGTATTTTGGAAAAAGTTAAATGTATCATAAAGTTTATTAGTTCCGATAGTATTATGGCTTAAGTTGCAAAATGAAAATATTTTATATGTATATATATATAACTTTAAAGTTTTGAGTACAACTTTGAAAAAAGTGTTGTAAAACAATTAGGTTTCTTGCAATCATACGAACTCCTGCTAGAGAGGTTATAATGCCAAACTTTCGGGATTTGATCGGTGAGGTAGACACGGCGCTATTTAGCTTTGGGATGAAACAAACGACACTTGTGTGTGTGGCGTGAGAGATTCCTCACCAACTTAAACTATCCACGTAATATGTTGATTAATTCGATACGTTCTTATTAAATGGTACCATTGGTAATGTATATTTTAATACAAGGATTGGAGATTGACTTCCTAATATTGATTGTGGACGTTAATTATGAATATTTTCAGGTGTCACATGTAGTTATATCAAGACATTTATGATCGTGAAAAGCATCTTTTGGACATTTTATATTTTTGTATAGCATCTTGTTGATTGAAGCACGATTTGTTTGTATCGCACATTGAAGCCATTATATAAAATACACTGACTTTATCCGTGGCAAAAATACTTTATAAATAAGTCCCGACGTTGAACAAATTAATTTGTTGTGCGAGCATCCCTTGAGAAATCTACTATGTTTTAACATTACTGTTTTTTTTTTTTCGTTGGCACAGCGGTATGTCTGCGGACTTACAACGCTAGAAACCGGGTTTCGATATCCGTGGTGGGCAGAGCACAGATAGCCCATTGTGTAGCTTTGTGCTTAATACCAAACAAAACAAACAATTTTCAGCATTTACCAAAACGTGTGTTCGTAAACGTTCATTTGAAGAATTAAACTGTCCCTTGTCTGTGCGATAGGTTCATTGGACAAAAATCTGTTAGAAATGGAAGGCTCAAAGATGTTTATTTTCAATTGAATAACTTTTTCTTTTCTTTTTTTACATTTGGGCGTTTCTAAATAGGCATATTCCATCTTCAGAATAAAAATATAAACTGTAGCAACAAACAACGTTACAAAAAAAAACCCTATATAAAGGACTAAAGTAAGCATGAAGCGATTTTGTTGCATTTAGTTCTGGATATTTAATAAGGGTGTTTCTTTTTTTTTTAATCGGTAAGTCTTACGTCTGAATGGCCAGTTGTCATGACTTGAAAGGTGGTAACTGAGAAGAGATGGTTTGTAGTTTCACAATGTGAGCAGGTTGTAGAATCAATAGTTAGAAAAAAAAATTGAAGAAGTTTTAGGGAAAAAAAAGCTACAGTCGCATTTGAAAGATTTTTATTGAACAATAATTCACTTTGATACTTTAAAATTAGTATATATTGTTCTAAACACAAAAGTGCTCAAAACATCAAAATAAAAAATACCGTTATTTAGTTTGGTTCAAAACCTACAAAATCTTCATTGCTTTCACTGTAATTTGTTTTTTTAATATTTAGGGAGCATTATAAATAGTTATGTTTTTAAAAGAAAAAAAAACTATTGTTATAAATAACACATTCAATTGTACTAAACTATGCATGCCTATTTAAATATATTTACACATGGCTTATGTATATCGTATACGTACATATATATTATTCATACCTTCGGTGTATAGGACACAAGCAGATTTTGACATCAAATTTCGGGGTAAAAAGTGCGTCTTGTACACCGAAAAATACGGTATTCTCGATTTTGAATGAAACTTAATATTCTTGAGTTCTAATGTACAAGTGGCGTGTTTTTAGACATTTTTATGATAGGAGCGGAATGGTCCGAGCCCATAAAATACTGTTAAATAATTCTCAAGTTCCAGATAATAGGCGCATTATAACAGTAGTTGTATAGGCAGCGAGTGATATTGATTGGTTGCCCTCCCTCTGGCAAACAATTGTAAAAAAGGGATGGCTGTGCCTAGACCTGGTGTGTAGCCATGTGTCGCATTGGATATCTTTCATGTTGAAAATATTTCATCACTTGTAAGCATAAACTATTTATGGGCCACAAAGAATTAAGAAATCTGTTAGTTAAAAGAACGACTTAAAACTAATTGTAATTTCAATATGACGTTGAATTATTACTAAAAACGTTTCAGGACTTTAATTTTTATTATACTTTGTAAACCAAGGAAATGGAAAGTCAAAGTAAAGAGGCAAACTGTAACCAGTGCTTGAGTTGTAAAAAAAATAACAAGTGGAACGGTCAGATTTGATATCCAGTTTGCAAACAGCAGTCGTATGCTGCGTAAATCGAATGGGTAGTTTAATAATAGGAACTATTTGATAAACAAAGTTAACAACTGGAACGGCGTCCCGGTTCCTTCCGCCTCAACTCAAGCACTGACTGTAACTGATAATTGTTGAACGTTGTTCACGTATACTGTTAAGAAAGTTTCGAGTTTGTGCATGTAATATCTTCATGAAAATGCTATTGTTTTGGAACATTTTGTAAGGAATTGATTTTATGCTGCAAAGAATGAAAGCGTGAACACATTTTATAAGCTCAATCTAACAACAAACTGAAAAGAAAAAAAAAGACGAGTTTATTTGAAGTTTAAGGGTGTCGTATTCAAATACAGCAGGTAAATACGGGTAATACTACGTGTAGCAGATTCCAAAAAGTTTAAATCAAACACACACACAACGAAGGAAGAAAGGCAAACACATGAGGACAAATTGTAACACAAAATCTTGATTCACAAAGACACGCTTGATTGCTGGGGCTTCAAACTTCTGGATGTTGGAGTAAAAAGCAATCACTCTGCGAAACAGGTATCGTGGTGTATCCCACTGTTAAGACAGATTGAAAGTTCTTAAAGTGCTAGTCCATTGTCTTAGATTATCTACGTCAACTTGTACATGTGTTTGCACAAACCCTAAACTTAAGTATGACTTGCACTCCAGAGGAGATGTGGTATAAGAACATGGTCAAGCAAGAATAAGCTGTATTGAACAATCGCTGTAGTATATAGCTCTTGTTTTAAGTAGAAGAGTATTGCAAATTTGTGAGTTTTCTAATCTTGTTTACGAGGACGTCATGTATGCATGAACATTTTGAAAAATACATATGAATATACATGGATATATATGTATATATGCGTGTTTTTCATCAGTTGTTAAAGAGTGAAATATAGCTGTCGAAAAGGTTTTATAAAACTGAAGGTTTTTATCTAAGAGACAGATGAGAAACGTTAAGATTGTGTGGGATAATAATAGTTAGAAAAGACAAGAAGTGGCTTTGTTCGAATCAGCAAGTAAAGTTAATTGAAAAATGGTTGGACTATATTTTGAAAGTCTGTTAATACGTACACGCACAACAATGATATGATAAATTTTACTAAAGCAACCTGTATTCACGTGTGACGTTCTCTGTCTCATCATTGGTTCATCAGAAGTGCCATGTTTTCATTGGTCATATTCAAAAGACAAAGTACTTAATTCTGATTGCCTGTCTACTTGTTGAAAGGATTAACTACAGTATCAATATGGCAATAAACAGCTGCATGTTGTCCTTTTCACCTGCTCTCATTGGTTTCTGACTTTACAGACGAGTCGAATTGTTACTTAATTACTTTTTTAAATCTAGGAAATAATTAGTTTATAAATTGTGTTTCGGCTGCTAATCTGCTGCCATTTCATTAACAATTTTTATACTGTGAATGCGTTTTATAAGCTAACGAAGCATGATTATAATTAATTACACTTGTCGTAAGACATTGATATTAGGCCTATTATACACTCTTCTAATTCTCGAAAAACCCTAACGGTCTAGGTAAAGAATGCAGTAATTTAATATATATAATAAACCTAATATTAATATCTTACAAAAAGTGTAATTAACAGGTAACTGTACATACTTTTGACGGGAAGCATGTATCTCAGTCTTTTGACACACAATAGAAGTTCTTGACAAGGTCTATACTCTCAACTAATATTCAGAGAATCTGAATAAGTCGTACATGTTTTATAAGGCACATGAAATGTAGTGTATTACTGCTCAATTTCTGATTCGTATTTGATGTTTTAGCTTACACCCAGCATTGTTTTTACAGAAAATTCAGCATAGCGCAAACATATGTAGCACCGCACTTACCCATTCAAGTTAAAATTCATCGTAAGTTGTAGTTCCAACATAATTATGGGAATCAATACATGGCTTTATTTCATTAGTCGACTTTCAGTATTAAACTAAAATCAAAGGTAAAAAATTATTCGTCTGAACAACTAGGTATATTATGTCAACGTTTTCTTTTTGTTTTTTTGTGTGTGTATGTGTATGTAAACGTTTTAAACTTTATATTTACTTATATATATATATATATATTTGTATACTGGTGTTTCTGATTTTGATTGTTTTATCATCTTTAGCCCTGAGGTAGAGCTCTGGATTTTGGAACTGGCGAGCCGGGGTTCGAACCCATGTGACACCACAAAATATTTAAAGCACTTTAATCTGTGGGTTTGTTATAAGAGTGACACTCAATTCTTTAGCGCAGACGGTAGAGTGTTGCTGACTGGCTGCCTTCCCTCTGGCCATTAGGTTAAAATTAGAGACGTAGCAAATAATAGACTTGAGTTTTTGCTACTCAGCTTATAAGCAACCATTTATGCTTAATAATTGAACGAATGTCACGTACACCAAGCGTCCTGCGAAATTCGTTATTCCGTAATTTCTAATTAAAACGACGTTTATGTTTAATATTAAAGCTACTTGACCTTCAAGTTGCTACACACGAAACCTAGTGTTTCACTCAGTTAAACTTGGTTACCTTCTCTATTCCTGAAAATCATATTCACATACTACCAGATTAACTAATTAATGTGTTTCCCTTGTAGCCTGAATCTTGTTAACCCGACCTGATGGTTAGGGCGTTCGACTGGTAATATGAGGGTCGCGGATTCGAATCCCTGTCACACCGACATAAACATTCACCTGCTCCTAAACCACAGCGCTGAAGGAGGAAGAGGTCTTATTGAACCTGACCCTCCCTGGTCTATCAACACCAAAATCCCGATAACGAAGCAGACAGGTTGCTAACGAACTCAATCCTTTTTTGGCCGCACCTTTTTTTCTCACTTACAGTGTTTTTGATTGGATATCATAACTTTTTGTCAATACACACCAACAAACCACAAGTAAGAAAGTGACACTCGATAGTAACCAACATTAGCTTTAGGATCGCAATTCTATTATTCGGAACAGACCTAAACTTTAAAAATCAACCAGATTCTTTAAAATATATGGTGGTAGTTTTTCCTGTCCAAAATAGCGTTAATAGCTTCCTTTATAGTAACGACATGAAAACTAGATTAACAGTTTCTTATCATCACCCGCATGCACTCGATACAGCTGTATTAAGCATCATTATTTACCCTAATTGCTTAAGCTAATATCAACAGACGCTAAACGCTCTTAAATTGAGAGAATTTCATGAAATTTAGCAAATTCGTGCTTAAAAGTTGGCAATGAATAATAACCGTCTATCCGTATGATTTTTTCCAAAACTTGAGCTAGAAACTGTTAATCTAGTTTGCTTGGCCTAACCAATACTTATGTATCTGCACGTACTTTCACCCTATAGTTTTGCTGCTCTCAATCAGCCGTTTTAAATCTGAATGACAAAAAACTAAACACGATCCACTTTTACTCTTAGGTGAAGCTGTAGTAAAACAAATAGACCGATAGCGCACGTAACTGTTTTGCCTAGGCATGCGCAAACATTTTGGTCAAAATTAAGCAGTTTTTGTTGGATAAGTTTGTACATGTGGCTTATATGTAGACCAAATTTGACACCTAATTGTAAGTTGTAAAGATCTATCAGTGAACCAAATTTGAAAAATCAGTGAAAGTTAAGTATGGTTTTCTATCAAATAAAGTTTCCATACTTTCGATGCGAAGAAAAAAGAAGAAAGTCAATCAAAATTGGAGATTTTATATCTCATGTAATTCGTAATGGACTGACTTGAAATTTGGTATGTGAAGTAAGGGTCTAGTTGAGCACATCTATTGAAAATGTGCGACAGTTTGTATTACCACAGTCCAAGCTACAGAAAGTGAGAAAATTTTTAAATTATCACTCCTGTTAATAACACACAATATGTCCTGCAGGTTGTTTTAGCCGCACGACATAATATCGCGTGTTTTGATGTCTGTGTAATCAGTATTATTTCCTGTTTTATTGTGTTCTATTTCTTTTTCTTTCTTTCATTTAACGGAGAAAGTAATGAATGAAAACGGTTTTAAATAGACACCGTTCACTGCAAGACAAATTACATTATAACATCTAACAAACGAATAATTCACTATGTTTACCGAATGATGAATACTAACCACAGGAGCTAAAAGCCCCCCAGTGGCACAGCGGTATGTCTGCGGATTTATAACGCTAGAATCCGGGTTTCGATACCCGTGGTGGGCAGAGCACAGATAGCCTATTGTGTAGCTTTGTGCTTAATTACAAACAAACAAACAAACAGGAGCTAAAAACTATATGTACTTCCGCAAGGTCCCTGAAAATGTTCTGTTTCATGAGTAAATAAAGCCACAATTAAGAGTAACACATATTTGTGATTCCTGCTTTTGAATTTCATATGCCATTCTACAGAGTGTATAATTCTTCTCGTGGTTCATGGCATGTTCACGTTGTACTGATATTACGACAGTACAAATTACAACGTTAAGCATCTCTTATGTGACGTCATTTTAGTGTCTGCTGACTGGACAGACAACACACTACAGTATGGAGTGTGAGTAGTTAAAACAGGTGACCCTTCCAGACTCTGGGAAATAACATAAACACAGCAGCTAAATTCTGTTTCTGCAACCGGCTGTCACGAAAACATATAATCGTTTCATGGACACAACGTTACGGGGGGGGGGGGGTCATGTCCCACACACTCTTTGAAGTGTGGCAAATCGTCCCTCCACTTTTTGAAAGATATGTTATTTATAAGCTTAAATATTTTACTCTCGGTTAATTTTACGTAAAACCAGTTGTCAGGTCAAACGAAGTCTTCAACTAGGACCATGTTACTCATGCAACATAGCAGTTCCCTCAGTCTTGGCACAGTTTGTGTGAAGTGTTTAAAACAGAAAGGCAGTTGGTCACTGGCAGCTGAAGAAGGAGAAGCAAGAATTGTACGTCTAGGGAGCTAAATGTATGGTTTTGGAATACCAGTAAAGGTAGATAGATTATGTCGATGAATTCAATGCTGTAAGCCTTAAATAATATTTGTATGAACAATAGGATCTAATTGTAAAAAGTTGTTATCCATACTGTCAGTGTGAAACAAAGAATTGAGGCCATTTTAAAACTGATAATAAATCTTACTGTAAGAGCTGAATTCTAGTTGTTTTGAAGATAAATGTTTGTATTCTTATTTTTGTTTATTTTTCAAGACAACAGTGCCATATAGCCTTAGTTTTGGTTATGAGTTTGTTGTCTTGCAATTCAGTGTAGTTAAAGTTTGTTTACAGTCAGGAAGCAAATACAGAGTTTTGATCATTAAGGCATTAAGACATAAAGGAATAAAATATTAAAAGAATAAAGGTATAAATTTAAAAAGTTATTGTCGAAAACTTATTGTTTGATTTGTTATACAAAAGAAAGATTTACATGTGTGCGACTGCTGTGAATGTAAATAAATAAATTTACTATTATTTCTTGAACTTTGGAAAGTCTTATGCCTGGAGTTATACATAATCTCAATAAAGTGGAAAGCACAATAATAGGATGAGACGAAATGTATATGCAACTAGGAACTCAGACAAGCTAATAACTTGGTCCACCAAAATAGTATTTGTTGGTTGGTTTGTTTGAAGTTAAGCACAAAGCTACAGAATGGGCTATCTGTGCTCTACCCACTACGGATATCGAAACCCAGTTTTCTAGCGTTCGCAGACATACCGCTAAGCCACTGGGGGACCCAAAATTGTAAACCAAGAGTTATCCATCTTAGAAACTAAATGTGTATTTTTCATTTAAAGAAGTTATCACCAATATCAAAAGCAACAAAAAGGGGAAAAAATGGACATAAGGCATTTTTTCCAAGCAAAGCAGTGCAATTTAACGTTAACTGAATTGTTTTTGATAAGATAAACTTGCAAACAAAGCATAAATATCAGAACATTATTATCCTTTATAAAAGTATGAAACATACCAGGTAATTGTGGTTTGGACATGATAAAACTTTAATTTTATACCACTTCTATTGTATAATGTGTCCACATCTTTCACGATAAAAAACGATTTAACCTAGACAGCAATATCGTAATTTCAAATAGAGTTGATAAAGCTATTTCAAGAAGTCTCTCAATAAAATTGTATTCTTCCTCTTATTATTATTATTAATTATATTATTATTACCGCTATTATTTCATTCAGTTTTACATGCCTGTATGTAAAGTAAAAATTCCTATTTCTGAGATGAGTTAGAAAGAGGTGTCAAGGGGTTACCTGTGGTACTCGAGTATGGTATTTTTGCTGTCATGTTTATTGTAGGAGAACGTGCAGGCAGATGTGAGCAACAATGCCAGAGAGAAAGAGAGAATGTGTAGGCAAGGAGGTTAGTGATGATGAAAGAGAATTATCAGCAGAACATCAATATCTGCCCAGCACAGAGGCATTTGAGGCAGAAGCCACAGAGTTAGGAAGGTGAGAAAGAGATGACCTCGGAAAAATCCCACATGAGCCAAACCCAAGGTTCATTATAGATCAAAAGTTTACAAATAGGACTCTCCAGTTTCAGGATATGTAGTTCAAATGTAGACCTCTCGTTTGTATTCTCACGATTTAGAAATTGGAAAAAAAGCCCTAGAAAGGTTTGCAAAGCATGCTGATTGTCAATTGCATAAGGTAGTAGTGACAGCTTATGTTCAGAAGGCAATACCAGTAGACATTCAGCTCTCAAGTGTTTTGGCATCATAGCAACAGGAGGCAAAATCTTACTTATTGAAGATTGTAAGCACAGTGTATTTTTGTAGTATTTCAACAGTTGGCTTTTAAAGGACATAAGGAAAAGGCCAGATGCTGAGGTCAAAGGATGGTCTTAAACTATGAATTTGGTTGACACACAACAAAGATTATACATGCCATAAAATTAAAAATGAGATCCTGGGCAACTCCTTTGTGAGATATATTGCAAAGCAAATAAGTTATCTGCCTCTGCTGCAATATTCAGTGATAATTGATGTAACACAAGATATATCTGGTACTGAATAAGAGTCAAGCTGCCGTCACTGTGTGGCATCATGATCTGATGCCACATAAATAAGTTGTAGGTCTCTATGAAATGTCTTCAACAACAGGTTTCCATTGATATCTTACTGCACCTTAATCTACCCCTTTCTGGTCTTTGTAGGCAAACATATAATGGTGCTGCAAATATGTTGGACCAATACTCGTGTTGGACTCGTGTAACTCCCGAAATTCGGAGAAATCGAGTGTGACCGACCGACACTTGGCATTTATGATTATGATAAATAGTTAAGTGGAAATGTCCTACGACATTATCTGAGTTCTGTTCATAAATACACATTTCAATATTCCTTTATTGCATTTTTCTTCACGAAAATAGTGACATTACAGTCTGTATATAAAGTACATATCATTGTGGATATGAAGTAATTATATGACATTCAGAATACAAACAGTGATGCTAGTATGTTTATAAAGTGCACGTCAATGTGGATATGAAGTAATTATATGACACTCAAGACACAAGTAGTTATAGCAGTCTGTATATAAAGTACATATCATTGTGGATATGAAGTAATTATATGACACTCAAGACACAAGTGGTTATAGCAGTCTGTATATAAAGTACATATCTGTGGATATGAAGTAATTATATGACACTCAAGATACAAGTAGTTATAACAGTCTGTATATAAAGTACATATCATTGTGGATATATGTAGTTAAATAAATAAATGCAAATATAAATGAATAGATAGATAGATAATTAGGAAGGCAAGCGAAGCAACGATTATGTCTATCGCTGAAATGGCTCATTCCCTACCTTTACAAGCATAATTAAATTTGAGCCTTGCCATCTGGTGGTTGGTTTTGTAGCACTTATCAAACAATCTACATATATGTGATCACATGGATGAGTGAAATTGTTGTAAGCTATATTTTTAATGTAGTAATCTACATGTTAGCTAGAGGGCACATGATGTTAAGATCTAGAAAGTCCTAGAATATTCTGGAATATTAGTGATCGAGATATTTTACGAAGTATTTAAAAATTAGGTTGCAGATATAAATAAACAGTTCAGGAGTGGTAAATAGTGAAAGTATTGAGTAATCAATTATTTTTAAGCGTGAAGTAATTGAATAAACGTTACTTATCGCGTATATTAAATTACATGATCTATTAGCCTCGAAATTTCACGGGCAAGTTTACTTTTGCATAGTATTTCCTTTTGAGCGTATTTGTAAATATAGGCCGACAAATTAAAACCTGTATAAGGTTGTAAAAATTAAGGAAAAATAAATTAATTTGTTATCGTTACATGGACTGAACTTCGAATTATTTTCCAATTATTCCAGGTCAAAAGAAAAACACATAGCTAACTAGATACCAAAAAAGTAGAAATTCATCGGATTTTAACTGATAATACAAGTTATGTCCCAAATGAGAAAACAAATTCGTTATTTGAAGAAAATAGTCCACGGACTTATTGAATGAAACTTTTAAGTAGGTTGATTGTCACTAATTCTACAGCTACAGCTATTTGACCAGATTTGTTAAAAAGATATGGAAACTTACCTACAGAGATGAAGAAAGAAGAGCGATTAATGTGAACATCAGGTGAACATAAAGCTCTAGCAATAGGAAAGTTGGAAATTTCCCTTATGTAGGAAACTTCTTTGTAACTCACAGTGTGTGTATAATTAACAAGAATGCATATTTGGAGCTGACTTTATGCAGAGACATGGATGTGAGGTTTGGCTAGCTTCATATTTTGTGCACTACATTGAAATTACTATACAAGAGGTTGAACTCCAGTGGAAACAGGGATGGTGGTCAATGCACCACCAAATGACATATTCATATCAGGAGTTATTAGCGATAATTCTTCATATAGTGACTGTATTGTAGTGGAGCCAAACACTCAGGATATCCTGAGGAATTGGTATTGGAATAACTCTTGTGGAAATGAATAATAAAGATACGTTACTTGTCTTTACCCAGGGAAGACTTAAACCAGTTTGTGATAAAATTAAAGGCAGTTATGATGTAAACCTTGATAAAACTGGATTTTATCCACGTGACATGGTATGGCTGAACAGTTATCACAAGAGAGAACAAACCCCAAAGTTAAATTGGTGTTTGGAGGATAGGAAATCGAAGCCAAAAGTCATTCACTGTGAGAGAACAGCTAACTGGTTAAATCCAGAGAAGAACTTGGTGGTGAAACATCAGTCTGTGGATGAACCTAGAGTTATTGTCAAAACTACTTCCAAAGGATCGTCAGCAGATGCACTCGACCACCAACTCACGAAGAGCTTCCACAGTGAAAGGACGTTCAATGACAACAAGACACAAGATGCCAACCTATTTGTATATCACAGTACTTGGTGAATAGATAGTTTAGTGTAATGTTTTAGTTTTTGAATTAGGAGACTTCACAATCCTGGAAAGAGGCAGTGTTGTAAGTTATACTTTTAATGTTGTAATTTAGATGCCAGATATGGGTGTATAACGTTAAGATAAAGCAATTTCTAAAATATTTGGTAATATTAGTGATCGAGAGGCTTTGCAAAGTATCTAGAAACAACCCTACAGATATAAATACGATTAGGCAGTTAGTTTAGGAGGGGTGAATAGTGAATGAGTATTGAGTAATCAGTTGTTTTTAAGCGTGAAGTATTTGTATCAGTGTTAGTTATTGCATATAATCAGCTGCTCTATCAGCCATCCGTGAAAATTTACAAGTAAGTTTACTTGTACATAAGTCTTTCTTCTTGAACATCATTTGTAAACTTAGGCCCGTAAGTTAGAACATGTATAAACTTGTAGAAATGTTAAGGAGGCACTAAACCAATTTGTTACTGTTACACAGACTGTACTTCTAATTATTTTCAACAGATGATTTAAGAGAACCCACTAAAGAAAGAATGACGTTATAAAATTATCTCATATTTGTTTACTGATGACACTTCAGTATGTATTAGTTCAAATAAGTGGCCATTTAATGGTAATTGTTTTAATAAGTTTGTGATTCGTAATATGAGTCCCTGTGATATCATGATAATTGAACACAATCATTTGTTTATTGCTAAGCTCAAAGATTCACAATGAGTTCTCTGTACTATGCTCAATGCGGTAATCGAAACCCAATTTTTGACATTATAAGCTCTCAGATTTACTAATGTGCCACCATAGAGCTTGAACATAATACAGAAAGAGGTGTTGTATTCAAGTGCTTTAAATTGTATGTAGTAAACATGTGATATGCAGGCATATCATAAGTGTCTTACCTTCTATAGTTATAATATAGGATTATTCCAAATTATTGTTTATTTAATTCCTACCTTCCATGGTGGTCCAGAGTTACTAACATTATTTTGTTCTAGCTTCTTTACCCTTTCTTCTCAAGTAGGTAACGTTTTCTCCCCCTCCCCCCTATCCCACAGAGACATTTCAGTATTGTGTATAGAATTCAGGTTGAACAGATTAGCGCTGAAATATCCTTTGCTGGTAGATTGTGACGTTGATTGAAGCTGAAAGTCCGACTAATGTTGTTAACGAACAGAGGTCACGAAGTGATGCCATTCATTGGGCAAAGAAAGCAAGTTAACATTCTGAATCCAGGAACGATTTCTTTGTTCAGTTTCACTTGGCTTTGATCGTGACTATCGTAGTAGAGATTCATCTTAAGATACTGAGAGCTGGTGAAATGTTTACTGATCCAGAAGAAATGATCGTCTAGGTACGCACATTGTTTTTTAATGTTGTATCTAAATAAAGATTGTCTCAGTGCTATTCAAATGTGTATAATCTGTTTATTTCTCATGCAACTTAAAACTCAATCAAGTTATCAACTTCAGAACACTCCCTATATTTCTTGGTAGAATCTGCTGTTATTTGCGGGTTTGCTTGTTTGATACTTATCGAACATTTTGTTTTTATCTGAAAATGCCACAAAAACACGAAGAAACACGTTAAATACGATTCAAGATAGGCATACATAACCTCTAAAACTTATGAATGCAAATAAGTAATTCAATGGAGATTTTGTTAATAGTAAGATTAACTGCACAGTATAGTATTGTTACGTCTCCGTTTGTTAATTAATTTTCCGTAAATTCGTTCCGACGAAACTTATGCGACAAAAGTCCTTTTTTAAATAAAACTGGTTTATTCTTTCCGAATACAACTTTACGATACACTTAATTTCAACAGTCGCTCTGTAACAAACGCTATAATTTTCAACGAATTTCTCACGTGCTTAACAATATTCTCTCTGACTGCAGTTCAATTACTCATTACCTTGTTGTCCCGTCACGTTGTGAACGTCTTATATATACAAGACTAACACATATCTAGTAAATGCTAGGGCATTCTTGAAGGAACAGGATATTTCTAGAAAACGTGGCGTGATACTAGTCACGTGACCTCGCTGACGCAACAATATGTTTATGGGCAGTAAATTTATTTACACAACAAATTGTTACTTAATTTTGAATTTTTACACTTTTAAATTTAAATTTTATTAATTCAAAGCCAAAGTAAATGTATTCAACAATATTTGCCTAAAGATAATAGAATATAATTGTGGTTCAGTTGCAATAAATTGAAATCAAAGAGTCAATGAAACTTTTCAAAGTACTGGTAAATTGAACAACAGGTTAGTGTGCCCTGACTGTGAACAATCAACAGCACCTGCTGCCAACTCTTTAACTATTCTTGTCTGACTGAATAGTGGGATTTAACTGTCTTCACTATAACAAACAACTGCCCAATATTTCTGGGTGTGGTAACAGGATGTGAATATTACCTGCCATGCTAATCACTGAATCATGCTCAATTTGTTGGCTGGTGCCTTCCCATTTCATGTATAAACTCAAAATTAAGGCCTTCTGTGCACAACTAGCTGTTTCTTTAACTTTGCTTGAATTTTTAAAGAAAAATAATAATAATAAACTAACTTACTGTAAGTATCATTAAAGATAAATTCTAGTTCTTAAACAAAAGATACTGAACATAATTTATCAGAATTTTTGATAATATTAAAACTTATTTAAACATAATGCACAAGTAACATTATTAGTTTATTATTCAAATATTCCATTGAAGTAGCTTTTCTGAGTTTTAAAAATATAAGTTTATCAATATATTAATACACTTATCCTTTACTCAGCTCAAATATTATCATAAGTTTAAATATTTTATCTTAAAATCATGAAGTTTGTAAACAGTATGTTTCTGATTGTATATATATATATATATATATATATATATACACACACACACACA